CGAATTCCGCACAAATAAAATCCTAAGTTGGAATTTATTCTTCGATGTGGAGAAAATTCTCAAACTTGTGCACAACAAAAAGGAATTCGATTCTCAAATTTGTTCCGATGGCGTATCTGTATCGTTGATGTACAAAAAACCGAAAGTACCACCAGTCGAGACAACAGATGACGAAATCAAAGCAATGTATGACAGCAATGAGTTGAAATATGCTGTTGGATGTGATCCGGGTATGCGAACGTGGAACGCTTCGTAAATTTGTCATTTAATAATGAATGAAAGTGATTGTGATTGTGAATACAATGTTGTTTTTGTTGTTTTCATTTTGTTAGGTGAATTTGCGAAACAAGGCCGACGTAATGCAAAAGCCGAACGAATCACACGATTGTTTACTTTCGAAGAGCAAGCTGATCGTAATCGAATTGCAGCTATGATTGGTGAAATGCCATCGCCAAAAGGACCATCATGGCTTTCGTACATTGAACATCGATTACGTGTAATGAATGATGGCATTGAAACCTATTCGACCAAACAGTATGCACGCTTGGGACTGGACAAGCATATCGAATCGGTTCGTGCAATCGACAAAACGGCATGCAAAATGGTTCACAATCAACCATCAATTTTCTACATGGGAGCCAGCGGATCAACACCAGCTAATTCGCCGATTAAGATCAAGAAACATGTGCGATGTCCAGGCACACGGAAGCTGCTTGCGGCCAATATGAAACGTGGCAATTGCATCATTCGAATGGTCAATGAGTACATGACATCACAGCATTGTCCATTGTATTTCAAACGATTTCCACAACAAACTCGACGTGATCGATACAAGGCATGTGTGGGTTGTGTACCAAATCCAGTTGTTGACTTACCGACACTCATTGTAACCAATGTGAGCAAACGATTACTACAAATGTGACGAACAATTGAACGAATGTGGCGCGAGATGCGAGATATGGGCGATGTCATTGCTGCAACTCTTCGAGATGGACCGAATGCAGGTCGTTTGGTGTCAAAGAAGCAACGCTTCTTTAAAACATGGCTACCAAATGTTACAAACGTTGAAATCGAGGGAGCTGCCGAAGCACAACCAACGCTCACAACTGTATGGCATCGTGATATCGCATCAGCGAAGCTGATCCTCTACAAAGGTATGCAATCAATTGAAATTGATACAAATTTTGAAGCAATTGTTATACATGTAATGTGTTTTTGTTATGTATCATTCGGTAGGTGAATTCAAGCGATCAATCAGCCATTGCAGTTGTATCGAGGTCAGAATCAGAATGTCAACAATGGACATCTGCAGCTGCAGTAGTAGCAGCCCTCATTCATCAACAACAACAATATCATTAAATCAAATTATAATTTGAAAATTAGTTTATAACAATTATTTGTTAGTCCGCTAGGCTTGATTAAATTGTGGCCTTGCCGAAGTACGAGTTACCTCTTGCCTCGTATAAATTGTACTCGGTAAGTGGAATTTATTGAATATTGATAATTATGAATCAGACGTGCGGACGGGGGGGGTTTCGGGTTTGTCCCCCCCCCCAAATCGTTAACCCATCCTTCCGGTTTGTACCCCCTTCTAATTTATCTACACCCCCCCCCCCCCTTTAACTTCTTATCTCATGGATTTTTTTTATTATGAAATGATTCGAGATTCTCGCCGAAGCAGATTGACTGCCGAGAATTTAGATGTAATTTTACGCATTAAATTGAATGGACCGGATGATCTTGATCATTTCCCTGCATCTAAATATGCTAAGAAATGGGTTAAAAGTGGCCACTTGGCCACAGATGACAAGATAGGGATGCGAAAAAAAGAAATAATTTCGTATAGTTTGTTAGAAGAAGAAAATGTTTTACAGAAAAAAAAGTATCTCTTGAAAAGTACTATCTTTTGAATGAATTTAATTGTTATGATCACTTTGAACACAATTCATTTATCTTTATTTTATCTAATACATATAATCACTTTATATTATTCAATATTAATTAAAACACATTCATAATCAATTTTGTTATCAGCACCTAGGCAAGTTTGAATAAAACGAACACTATTTCAACGCATTTTTATTTTTAATCTCTCGATAATAAGCAATTTATTCCAATTCTTTCAAT